TTTTATTTATTTATAGGAGAGAGAGAGAGAGAGACAGCGGAGCAGGGGAGGGTCAGAGAGAGAGGGAGTCACAGACTGAAACAGGCTCCAGGCTCTGAGCTGGCAGTCAGCACAGAGCCCGACGCGGGGCTCGAACCCACGAACCGCGAGATCATGACCTAAGCGAAAGTCGGACGCCTAACCGACTAAGCCACCCAGGCGCCCCTTCAAGGCTATTTCTTGACCTGAGCTACGGTCACGCCTGCGTTATAAATATTTTTTAAGCTGTCCATGTGAGGGTTGCATACTTTCCTATAGGTTTTTATTTTGCGAATGAAGAAGATAAAAATACAAAATACAAGCAACAAAAAGGATTGCAGTGAGCAGTCTTCCCCTCCCCTGACCGAGCTCTTTCCCCAACCGGAGAAGGCTGCTGAGGACAGGTCTTCAACTGAAATTTTAATTTACCTTCAAGTTAAAATTTACACAGCATAAAATCAATCATTTGATGCGAACAATCCAGTGGCCTTTAGTACACTCATGATACTGTGCTCCCAGCACCTCTGTCTAGTTCTAGAACATTCCCCTCACCCCAGAAGGAAACTCCACACCCGTGAACAGTCACTTCCCAGTCCCCCCTTGCCATCAGTTCCTGGCAACCAGTAAACGACTTGGTGCCTCTCTGAATCTGCCTAATTCTGGACATTTCCGGTATGTGGAGTCATTTGTGACCATTTGTGTCTGGACTCTTTCTTTGCATGTCTTTGAGGTTTATCCGTATCGTAGCACGTGTCAATCCTTGTTGGACTGAGTGGTGTCCCCTCACGACTCACATGTTAAAGTGCCAACTGCCAGTGCCTCAGACTGTGACTGTATTTAGAAGTAAGGTCTCTAAGAAAGTGACTAAAATGAGATCATGAGGGCGCCTGGGTGGCTCAGTTGGTTAAATGTCCGACTTCGGCTCAGGTCATGATCTCACGGTCCGTGAGTTCGAGCCCCGCATCAGGCTCTGTGCTAACAGCTAGCTCAGAGCCCGGAGCCTGCTTCGGATTCTGTGTCTCCCTACCCCCTTCTCTGCCCGCCCCCGTTTCATGCTCTGTCTCTGTCTCTCAAAAATGAATAAACGATAAAAATAAGTTATAAACATAGATCATGGTTCTCAGGGCCTGCGCAGCAGCCAGGACCCCAGGCCCGTGGCAGCAGCGCTGTGTGGGAGTGTGTTGAAACGAGGCTCTCGGGCTCCATCCAGGAATGAGATACTCTCTAAGGATCCTTCAGGGTGACACTGCTGTGTTGCTGGAGCATAGGTGAGGATGCGCCTGATGGGGTCCTAGAGCCCCGAGGAGGGTTTTAAGGACACTAATGCCCAGATCCCTTCCCCGGAGATTCCAATACAGTTGATCTGGACTGGGTTACCCAGTTAGAAATGACTGTGCAGGGGCGCCTGGGTGGCTTAGTCAGTTAAGTGTCCAACTTTCGCTTAGGTCATGATCTCGTGGTTCGTGGGTTCGAGCCCCGCGTCGGGCTCTGTGCTGACTGCCAGCTCAGAGCCTGGAGCCTTTTTCAGAGTCGGTATCTCCCTCTCTCTCTGACCCTCCCCTGCTCACGCTGTCTCTCTCTCTCTCTCTCCTAGAAATAAATGAAAAATATTAAAAA